AGGACTCTGCGTTCCTAGAAGACATCATGTGTCTGCGAGCATCACCGTGTTTTTTCAGGGTCAGTGCGGTGTTTTGATTAACTCCATCTCCTCTACTTCTTTTTTATAGTGGCTTTGTGATTGTTTGGTAGAAATTAGGACAGGTGCGCCTCAGGGTACAGTGCTAGGGTTTCAGCACTGGGGAAGGGAATCGTGACCCCTGCATCCAGCCTCTTCATTTCACCTTTGAGGACACTGAGTCAGAGGAACGAAGACACTTGGGAAATTGTGCAGCCCAGCGGGCGCAGGTTGGGGCTCGGGCTGCTCCCCTAAATTCCAGCCCCCCGGCCCTCCACGGTGAGGTGTCTGCCTTCTTTGTCTCTCCCGTTTTCACCTTTCGTCTTCGAACTCCTGCTTTTGACGCTGCTCGCCTTGGAGGTTCTCATTCACGCACGCTGTGCGCAGAGCTTCTGCAGGTCCTGATTTATCTGCAGACAAGTGCACCTGTGCATGTGTGTGCGCGTGTGTGTGACAGTGTGACAACCTCACCTCACCCTGGCCTTCAGCCCAGTGTTCTACCTCCAGAATAAGTCATCAGTCTGTTTCAGAAGTAAGGAAATTTCGTCCCATTTTTCCCATTCTCTCAACTTGCTTGAGATACTATTTTGAAGCTAGCCATCAGTAGAGTCTGATTTTAACTTGATACTGCGCAGTTCGAGTACTAGTGGCCCAGAAGCTCGTATCTGGCTGTCCGTTCTTCCAAGGTTTTCGCCCAGTTGACGACTCCGGTGGGACAGTCTCTTGCCAGGCACCACGTAGCTAACGGCCCTCACCGTCCGGATGGCGCGCAGACCCCGTACGTCACTCACCATGGGACGCTCCCTCACACTCGGAAGGGTTTGTGGGATGAGTGTAAAGCCGAATCGTGGCAGCGTGTGCGGCAGCGGCCCGCGCTCCTGGCTGGTGCCCTCCTCTCCTTCCCTCTGAGGCTCTCACTCCGTGTCACACCTGGTTCCCCTGTGCCAGGCGGGGCTGTCACGTGGCCTGGAGCAGGTGTCTCGGTGCTGCGCGTGGAGGTCACTCGTGTACAAGCTGAGCCGCTTGCGTTGGCCAATCCCCTCTTGTGGCCCGGCCAGCCTCATATTTTAGGGACTGAGCTGACAGTGTCGGGGCCATCCCAGGTAAAAGCACCGCTGCACACATTTTTGTCTGAGATAAACTGGGGCCCATCGCCTGGCAACCGAATTCCTGTCCTGTCGGTGGCTTACATTCGGGTGTTAGTTGCAGAACAGACATTTTTAGAAAAGAAATCTAAAGGTTATCCTGCATGTGATTGTGGATAAATCTTTGTTATGCCTCCGTTTTTTTTCCCCACTGGAGCAGAAGTGCAAGCCTACCTGTCCGTCTATCTCTCGGAGGAGGAGGAGGAGGGGCTGGGGTCTCCAGGCAGCGGCTGCGCGCTGGAGGAGGCTGGGACAGACGTGGGTGCAGGGAGTGGCGGGCACGGCAGCACGGCCCTTGGCCTAGTTGTTCTGTGCCCACAGGACCAGGAGAGGCTCACAGGGTGGCAGAGGGACAGAACCACAAGCCTGAAGGACTTCTCTCCTTGGGGAAGTCCTGCGTGGCGCCGATGTTGCAATTCTATGCAGAGCAAGTCACGGTCACAGTTTTGTTTCTGAAGATGATTCCATTGTCTGGAGAGTGGACCGATGGGGCGAGAGCTGAGGGAATCGATCTCCTGCAGGCTCTTCACTAAGCTGCCACGGGCGCCGGGGCCCATCCTGAGTGGAGGGACGGGAGTCTGGCCACGGGGCATCCGCACTCTGAAAAGCCCGTGTCTGCTTCCGGTCTCCAGGACAGAGTCCCCGTGTCCACTTCTGCAGGGCTCGGGCAGAGGCCAAGGTGCGCCTCGCTGCCCTCTTGTGTCTGAATCAGATGGCGACGACTTTCTGAGAGCTATAAGGATCCGGTCAAAGTGAGCATCAGCACCCCCGCAGGTGCCTGCTGCTGCTCAGTGCTATGACTCAAGGTTGAAAGAAAGACTCAAAGACAGAATTTAGGAGACAGAGAAACGGGGAGCCAGGACTGTCAGCGCTGAGCAATCAGCCAAGACCCCGGCCATCCAAGCTGCTGCTACTCATTGTTGCCATCAGATTGGGGTAAAGGGACCACCTGAGGGCGCGTGCAGTTGCCATGGACACGTTACTGCTAGGCAAGGCTTGTAGAGGAAGAACAGCATTCTTGAGTTAGGAACAGAACTGACAGACATAGGGTGTAGTTAGCAAACGGCCTTGTCCTTCTAGTTAAGAAGGTTTTAACTGTGGGAGGGGGATTGGGTGCGAGTCCCCCCACCCTCAGCTGCTGCGTTCTCTTTCTCAGCCTGAGCTTCGCAGGCCGTCTCCCTGGTCTCTAACTGCGCCACGCGGTGGGTGCTTCTGTGAGCACGCGGGCTTCGGTCGGACTCAGGTAGAGCACACCAGCTGGGCCGGGGATCTGGATCAGTGGATCCGCCACCTGCCTCACAAGCGCAATGTCCCAAGTTCGATCCCCGGTACCAAAAAAAAAATTAAAACCAAAGCACACCGGCTGAAGGGTTAACACTTCCAGCCTGCGCCACTCACAGCCTGCTCTGGGCAGGATCAGTGGGCGGTGCCTACCAGACCCCTGACAGCCTGTCTAATAATGCCAGGCTTTTGCACCAGGAGAAAACAACCCCAGAAGAGACTGCCTGGGTTCTGAGGTTGGTCTCTAGCGCCCTCTGTCGGCTACTTCATCTAGTTAGTCTGAAGCTGCAGGAGGTTCTGAGCCCTGTTCTTGTAACATTCCTTACCAAAAGCAAAACATGAGAGATCTTACTTTTTAAATTGTATTTATTCATTTATTTTGGGTTTTTTTTTTGAGACAGGGTCTTGCCATGCAGTTCAGGCTGGTCTGAAACTCATGGTGACCCTCCTGCCTCAGCCTCCCAAGTGCTGGAACAACAGGCATGTGCCACAGCACCCAAAGCTGCTCTCTGCCCAAAGCAGAGTTCTCTTTCCATTACTTCCTGAGCACCCTGCTAGTCATGGTGTTACCGTCTTTCTGGTGACCACCCAGCGGGATGGGCTGGGAGGACCTATCCATTCACGTGTGGGTTTAAGTGGTGCTCTCCGATGAGGAGCCCTGTGAAGCCTTGTTGCTCAAGGCCAGCATGTTGCCGTCACCGACTTCCTCTGTGACCTGCTGTGGCCGCCCTGAGTCCTGAAACCCGGCCGCATCCGCCTCTCTCCAGGCTTCCTGGGGGAGCTCAGCTGCCACCTCCCTTCCCCAGGGAAGAACCTGTGCCGGCCACGCCCTGAGGAGGTCATGAGTGGTCCGCATATTTCCAGTGTCCGCTTAGGGCCAGGCGGCCTCACCTGTCAGGGCGGGTGAGTCTGACCCGGTGGCCGCTGATGGAGCAGACTGCTCCCCTGTGGTGCCCCTGTGTGGAAGACGGGCGTGGCTGCAGCGTTGTCCTGTGCCTCCTTCATGGGTCCCTGGGTGTTTCTGCTTCTGACTCTTCATGAACACGCGGATGAGTATTAGTGTGTTTGTGAACATCACGAGGGTCTCCTGATGTAGAGTGGAAAGGCAGGGGCGGGAACGGGGTTTCAGGGGTGAGCTGTGCAGGCGCAGAGGCTTCGAGCACGGTGGACTCCTCCCGCTCCCGCAGTGCTTGGGGTGAGCCCTGGTGTGCGACACGCAGAGGTCGGGCACTTCAGAGAGCCTCCAGCTGCTTCCCCAGGGCCCAGGCCCTGCAGACCTCACTCCGAGCTCTGCGGGGCCTGAGGGTCCTTGCTCACGGAGCCAGCTTAGCTGCTGTGTCCCAGCCTTACTGTCGCGATGTGGACTCCACAGCCCTAGCGTTGGCTTCCTGAGACTCGGCTCCCCCAGCTGTGACTCTCAGCACAGACCTGTCTGTCCTGGACCGGTCAGTGGTAGCTCAGTGGTGACCGTCAGGCCTGGCCGAGTGAACATCGGAGACGTGGAGTTTTGAAACTGCTTTTTGTTGTTAGGGGTGGTGGTGCAGCTAGGGATTGAACCCTGGGCCTCCTGCATGTCCAGCAGGCAGACACTGCACTGGGTGTCATTAACCAAATGTAGACCGCTTTTTTTTTTTGGTACCTGGGATCGAATTTGGGTCATTGCACTTGCGAGGCAGGCGGCAGAACCACTGAGCTACATCCCTGGCCCTGTCATCGTTATTTTTAATGAAAAGCATATAAGATCCTCCCAGTGTATGAAAGAGATCTGCACGCTGGTTTTGTTGATAAATTGTTCTCTGTCCATTGGAATAGCTCTGCACTAGACACCTGCACCGCGTTACCATTTTGGGTATGTTATTTTAAAACATGCTCTGAGTGTGTGCATGCATGTGCGTGTGTCCGTGTGTGTGTGTTACCAGGGGTCACACACAGGGGAGTTCCTTACCCGAGTTACGTTTCCAGGCCTAAGTGTGCTTTTTCGATGCTGTCGCGGATTTGCTGGCTTCCATGTCTTTTGAGCGTTCAGCCATTTCCTCGGGGATCCACATCCCTGCCGGTCAGTCCAGAGCCCATTTCTCTTAGAGCAGCGATGGCGAACCTTTCAGAGACGAGTGCCCAAACTGCAACCCCAAGCTCACTTCTGTGTCGAAAGGTGCCAGCGCTGCCGTTAAACCTGACTGTCTCGTGCTGGAGCTCTGTGTGTCCACTGTGGCAGGCGTGCCATTGGTTCGCCACCACTGCCTTAGAGCCACGGCAGCCTTGTCCTGGCCTACAGCATGTCAGGCCAGGTGCTCCACACTTCTCCCTGTTGCCCCAGGTCTGCCTGGCCCTGTGGTGTCAGCAGTGACTGGTCTGTGTTGAGCTCGCAGCTGGTGCTATGTGAAGCACAGAGTTCGGACTCGCCCGGCATCTTCCCAAGTGTGACACCAGGGTGCTGCACGCGTGGGTGCACAGTCACGCCAGGCTCACTGCGCACGCGCCCTGGGGCACTAACTCGTCTCCCTCACTTGCTTCCAGGACCCCCTGGACCCCACAAGGTCCGTGATCGTGATCCGCTCCCTGGTATCGGACGGCGTCGCGGAGCAGAGCGGGGCGCTATTACCCGGGGACCGCCTGGTCTCCGTCAATGAGTACAGCCTGGACGGTGCCACCCTCGCCGACGCTGTGGAGGTGCTGAAGGCCGTGCCCCCGGGCACCGTGCGCCTGGGCATCTGTAAGCCGCTGGTGGTGAGTGTCTGGCAGTGATGGCCGTGCGGTGGTGAAGGGCCAGGGCTTCGGGACAGGTGTGTGTGGCTTGGGCACTTGACTCACACATCAGGAAGGGAACGTCTACCTTAGGGCTCCGGGAGTAAAGGCTGCGGTCAGCGCAGTTGCGTAGTGTTTGCAGAGCCCCTGGCTGACCCTGTCCACACCCGGCCACCCTAGCATCCAGAGCCCCGATGCTCAGGCCATCCTGGGGTTGTCCTGGCCTCCGTACTGGGCCAACTCACTGTTTGTGGCTGGAGGGTCAGGTCCAGCTGCGGGGCTGCTGGGGTCCTGCACAAGCAGACGCCTGATAAGAGTTTGCTTCTGCCTTTGAAAAACTCGTGATGGCTTGTGTGCTCGTCCACGGCGCACGTGTCACCGGAGGCTGCCCCGCAGGGCCACGCAGCATCCTCCTGTGTTCCCGTCCCACGTGCTGCCCTGTGCAGCTCCAGTGCAGCGCATCTGAAGCAGATGCCTGTCAGGACAGGCTTTTGGGAGGCCTGGAGCGTGTCTGGGATTTCACACCTCAAGGCCCAGCCTAACAGTGGCGTGGAGGTGGTGTGGTCCCAGGTGCTGCTGAGTCCCTCCACGGACCCCTTCGCGATCTCCGTGTAGAACTGCACACTTGGAGAAACAGTGCTCGGGAGGCGCATCATCAACTGCTGAGGGCCAGTGATTTTCTTTGGTTCCTTGGTAAGACTGAGCACCGTTAGAAGATGCCAAGGTCTCTCCGCTTTCGGACTCTTCTGTGAAGTGTGTTAACACGCCAGAGAGTGACAGGCTCAGTGCCCAGGTCTGTTCACATATAACACCGATGTGTGACCCACAGTGGCTTTTCTTAAATTTTATCTTTAAGGTCCGTGCTGGCGGGGCAGCGACCACACCCCTCGTGGGGAGTCCGTGCAGGGCCTGACACGTCTTCCTGTCTTCCTCCTCCTCATATCCCCTCTCCTCCGTCTCTCGGTCCCTTTCCCATCTGCAGAAGACCTCTCTACCTTTCGCCTGCTGTCTTTCCTTTTGCTCTTTATTTGCACGCTGGATTTTCATGTACTGTGTGTGCCGCCCAAGATAGCACTGTGGGATTCCCACGTGAGAGACACCGTGCCTTGCTGAAGCTGTGCCAGCCCCACCCTGCCCCTGTCGGGAACCTCACACGGCCTTCACACTGTGCTGTTTCACCTGTGGGGCTGAGGCTTGAACACAGGGCCTCAGGGTGCTGCATTGTACCCACTGCTGAGCGACCCTGACCCCGTGTGGCTGTTCTGTCCTCATGTGGCACAGGGGCCGCCTTTCCATCTCTCCTGTCAGACACTTCGGCTGTCACGCTGGGACCGAACAAGTCACCGGACCAAGACCTGGGCTTCCTGTCCTGTCCCTGAGTACACAGCCAGCAGGCGTGGGGGCTCGTGTGCTATTTGGTACCTTCAGGGTGGGAACCCTCCTGCCTCTGCAGACCCCGCCTTCTTGGTGTGCCCGGTGGCCCTGTCCAGACTTGTGCTGCTGGGCGCCTGCAGGGTCAGTGGGCTCCGTGGGACAACCTCAGCCTCAGTGTGGCCCGGGGCCTCAGCAGCGCGGCCGTCCCCTTTCGGCAGTTCCGGGAAGTCCAAGGCACGGCACAGAACCGGAACGGGACTTAGCGCGTCAGGGCCTGGGTTCCTGAGCCATTTCTGTGGAGACCTCGGACCCGGAGCATCCAGACCTTGGCTCAGGAGTGTGGGGACTGAAGGACTGGGCAGGGCCTTGGGGAGACGCCCGGGGCTGGGGAGGCTGGAGGGCCCTGGGTGGAATGGGGGTCGGGCTCTGCCTTCCCTCTTCCTCGCTTCCCTCTCCCTCACCCTCCTCCTCTGTCTCTCCCACACCTTTCTTCCTCTCCCCTTCATTCTGTCTTTCTTTTCCTCTTTCTCCTTCCTTCTCCTCTTTTTCTCTCTTCCTCTTTCTTTCTTTCTTTCACAGTGATCCAAGGAAGCAGGACGGGTCCTCTCCGAGGTCGGTCCCTGGCCCTTTGGGTGACCCCACTGGTGGCCGCACACCTCTCGCCAGCGCTTAGAGCCACTGTAGCGCAGCAGCGGGAGGGGAAGGCGTGGAGGCGGGCAGTGCTCACAGGCCCCGTGTGAGAGGCGTGCAGGGTCCTGGTGGGCGAGGGGTGGACGCAGAGCCTGCGAGTGTCCAGCCGTGATCAGAATGAGCTGCTGCTAGTGAGGTGCAGCACGTACACCTGTAGAACACCTATTTCCTGCATCCCAGGTAGAAGGGATGAAGGAACTAACTGAAAATGTCATCAAGGTCTTGGGGCCAGGGTCAGAACAGATGGCTGAATTGCGGTGACAACGGTGGTTTTGCTTGGTGCTGTGGCTCACAGGGCCCTATGTTCTCGGGCTGGGTTCTAAGCCCCCAGCACCCACGCTACCCATGCAGGATGAAGCCAGAGAAGGTGCTCATAGGGACACCGGTCCAGAGCTGACAGTGTGCTCAGCTTCTGAACACAGAACCAGCTGGTCACCAGGTGCTGGACATATTACTGTGCCCTAAACCAGGCATGGTGGTGCGTGCCTGTGAGGCTGAGGCAGAAGGATCACCACAGGGTGGAGGACAGTTGATAGGCCCAACCGCCCTATGTAGTGAGACCCGGTCTCAGAAAAACAGAAAAGGGAAATTCTGCTTTTCAGATTCCCCTCCTGGAGAACCCAGAATCCTTTTTATCTTGTTACTTCCAATAAAATCTCTCCTGGCTTCTAAAAACAACATGAACAAAACAAAAAATCAGTGGCCCCCTTTCCTCACCAGTGCGTGCTGCTGCTGAGAACACGGCTTCTCGGGGTGCACCGCCACCCCGAGTGCTGAGGGGGCCAGGGCCAGGGCTGCGCACTGAGCTGGGGCCACGGTCCCTCTGCCCAGAGGTCTGCTCTGGCGAGGGGTTTCCATAAATTTGGCTGTGTACTTGCACAAGATGAGAATCCAGAGCGCTTGAAACACGCGGATCTCCTGCATCATGAAAATGGTTTATATTTTCAGGAAGATGAGAAAGAAGAAATGTGTTGCGATCTGCAGTCGAGCAATGGTGTGGACGAGGCTGGACTCTCGGGAGCAGCTGGAGATTCCGCGCTGCCGCCCGTGCTCGAAGCGCCCAAGGTATTTCGTGACTATTGTGCCTGTGAGCTAAAGTTCCTGTGAAGAGGACCGGAGCGTGCTGCCCTCCCTGGCCGGGCAGATGCAGACTCAGTGACCCGCTCACAGCTTTTACTGGTTTCTTGAGTGGAAGCCTTTGCTGTGTCGCTTTCCGTCTCCCACAGGCTGCTGTGAGGCATTTTCAGAGGTGCCCTCCGAAGCTGTGGCTCACACAGCCCTCGAACTTTGAGTAGCCAAATAGATCGCTGAAAACAGACCGCATTTAAAGTGCTGTTGGAAAAAAAAAAAATTGGGGCCGGGGATTGAGCTCAGTGGTGCCGCCGCCTGCCTCGCAAATGCAAGGACCTGAGTTCGATCCCCGGTACCAAAATACTACAACCTGGTTATTTCTTTTTTTTAAAAAATGCAGTCAGAGGACATAGGCAAACATATCACATGGGTATAAAGTTTAACAAAAAATTCTAAACTTAAAAGGTAATGGACATTCCAGGGATTCCTGAAAGCGTGTGGCACCGCCAGAAACACCAGCGATCACCATCGAGTGACACAAAGCCATCCCTGACCACAAAGGACAAAAAGCACAGTTCACTTAAGAGTAAAAAAGATAAAGCTCCAAAATGCACTTTCTATGACGACAGCACAAAGCACAGCTGACTCCGTAACTCTTCTTTAGAAAGGACTGAATGTGGAATTCCGTGGTGCAGCTCCGTTTTCCACAGCACTTTTTTATTTTTTTTTGGTACCGGTTTGAGCCATTCTGATCAGTGAATACAGATCAGTTAAAAGTTACCATATTCATTCCTTTTTGTCCTGTTGTCATCATAGGTGAAAACATGTATTTCCATTACATACGTAAAAGAATCCCACTCGGAATAGTTGAGACATGCTGTCCCGCCCTTTAGCTTATAGAACGTGTTTTTGCACACTAAAGTAACTGTAATTCCACTCAGGTTACTTGAGGTGACAACATGACCTTCCCTGCCTCTGCTTCCTGAAGTGCTAGGATGGGCCAAATCTGCTTATTTTGTGGCTTTTTGTATCATGTGACCGGCCAACCGCCTAGCGGAGCGCTTTCCACAGTTCCTGGGCAGCAGCCGGCTCCCCTTGCCGGGGGCAGATTCCCCTCCTCCCAGGCCCTCTCTGGACTGTGGGCTGTGTGGGAAAAGTGGCCTCCAGTGCACTCCAGTTTCTGGCCGAGATGTGGAAAGCGCTGTCAGGCTTTCTTAACTTGGCGACACTTTTCCCCTGCAGGGATTTCAAGATGAACCGTATTTTAAAGAAGAACTTGTGGACGAACTGTTTCTAGATTTAGGGCAGACGTTCCGGTCCCAGCAAAAAGAGATTGACACCAGCCCCGAGGCCTGGGAGATGCAGGAGTTTCTGAGCCCCGTGCTGCAGGATGCCGGCGAGGAGCAGGAGATGCTGGTAGACGAGGAATACGGGGAGTACGAGCTGTACCCCAACTGCCTTCAGGCCCTGAGGCTGTGCCCTGCCTCGCCTGCCCAGGAGGCCCTGCCGGTGCTGGTCGGCCAGGAGCTGCGCTTGGGTGCGCACCAGTTGCCTGACGACTGCTCCCATGGTGATGAGTCCCCGGAGGTGAGGCCGCTGCGGAGCCTGTGCTCCCCCGAGATGCAGCCATACATGGTAAGGAGCCACACGGTGTCCATGTCTTCCCCTTGCTCTCCCTGCCTAACCGGCTGCCAACTTTCAAAAACAAAATTAAAGCACAATTTAGTAGTCTGCTCACAGTCAGTCCTTGTTCCCAAGGTTCCCGCAGAGTGTGAACAGTCAGTGGGAGTCTTTGTTACCCAGCGACTCCTGGGGTCAGGGAGCTGCGTCTGCCTGGCTGGTGTCAGGGTCTTCGCTTTGCTTTCTCAGGGTTGCTCTTCCCAATTCTTCATCACAAGGCTGAGTTCTTCCAGCATTGCCAGGTTCCCCTTAGACGCCCTCTGAGGAGCACAGCGGCGTATTGTTAGGGTGAACTGAGGCATGAGCAGAGCAGCCAAATGTGAAGCAACAGCGAGGTTTTATTTCCAGCCTGGGTGCAGGCGAGTCAAGGGCAACAGAGCCGTTGACACTGCGGGCTTCAGCGATGGGAGATTGTGTCGGGGAGTTTGGGTAGGGATGGGGCGCCCAAGGCGTGGAGACTGAGTTCTGGGGCGGACGAAGTCGGGTAGTCTTCAGGGGCGTCTGGACCCACAGGTGTTGCTGCCTGGGGCAGGCTGCTTATCTCAAACCCAGGCCTTGGCTTCCTGGCACGGATTTCACATAGAATGCATTTGTCAGGGGAAATTGAGGCAAACTAATGAAAAAATCGCAGTTACATCTTGGCCATTGGTATTCTGTGTTCCGTACGATATGAAAACAGTGAATGCTGGGAACCATCTTCCATTTGAGATGCCAGCTGTTCACAACCTGGCAGGAGAGCATTGTGTTTTGTTCCTCCGTATGATTCTATTACTACTTAGAAACATGAGTTATGAAAATGTTTCCTTGGCAAGATGTAGAAACTGCAACCTTTACAAAATGTACGCACTCGTAATTGTTACAATATATAACCTGTGTATACCTTGGACCTTCTGTTCCAGAACCAGACCCTGTAAAAGTAGAAGAAACGCGAGCTCTAACTTTAGTCATACATTGTGATGCTCGAGATGTCGGCCACACTGTGGCAGTAAAACATGTTTCTAGTACATAGGGCCGAGGGAATTCAACTGTCGAGGTCTAGAGATTCCTTTATTATCACAAACTGGAAGTTGAGGCACCTTGGCTAGCCCAGGCACGGGTGGTTCCCTTCCCACACCTTCTCAGGGTGGAACCCCTTGGGCAGCCCTGTCTGTGGAGCTTGGCCCTAAAAGGTGATTTCTAAGATACTTCTCAGCTCTGAAGTGCAGATTCTATCATTATATGTTTGCAAAACAATGTTTTCCCAGCCCGAGTCCCAGAGTTGCTAGGGTAAAGCTGACTGCGGTGCTTCACCTAAGCAGACCTAATTCAGCATGTGTCAGGTTGGAGCATTAGTTAGGACCAGCAAGCGTGACTAGGCGTGGTGGCGCAGGCCTGTAATCCCAGCACTCGGGAGGCTGAGGCAGGAGGATCACTGTGAGTTCGAGACCAGCCTGGGCTACACATTGAGTTCCAGATCAGACTCATCTACATAGTGAGACCCTGTCTCAAAAAACCAGCAAGTGTGAAGTTCCCCTCGGAGGTACAGGAAAGGCATAGTCAGTCCTGGAAGAGGTTCTTTACTTTGGAAGAACCACGCCACGAAGGTGGGAAACAGCTTGCAGCTTCTCCAGTCCTCACACTCGGGAGTGAGGCAGGAGGATCACTGTGAGTTCGAGACCAGCCTGGGCTACACATTGAGTTCCAGATCAGACTCATCTACATAGTGAGACCCTGTCTCAAAAAACCAGCAAGTGTGAAGTTCCCCTCGGAGGTACAGGAAAGGCATAGTCAGTCCTGGAAGAGGTTCTTTACTTTGGAAGAACCACGCCACGAAGGTGGGAAACAGCTTGCAGCTTCTCCAGTCCTCAGAGTAAGAGAGCGCTAGTCACTGCCCACCTCTGCTCGAGGTGCAAAGGCCTGGCCCCTAGGGCTTCAGTAAAGTATTCTCTGCAACGAGTATAAGATTTAGTACATGCTTGATAATTTTTTAAAAAGTCATGACAGACATTTAATGCTCTTAGACTGTGTGGACAGCTGTCTGACAAATACCACGAGGAAAACCTACTCCTCATGGTCCCGGAGCCCAGAGTGCAGTGCAGGAGTGGGTGGGCCTGGCCGCCTTCGCTCATGGGTGCCCTGGGGCTTCGTCCTGCACTCATAGCCCTTTCCCGCTGGGCAGCAGGAGGCCGCGTGCACATCGGTCACCAGCATGTGCCGGGGGCCTTGGCGAGCAGCTGGCATGCAGGCACAGGGACAGCCGCTGAGCGTGACTAACTCTGAAGAGGGCCCCCAGGCTCCCTGTCCTTGAACATAAGGCCCAGCCTCCCCTTGGAGGGACAGAGAGTCCGCCCCCGCCCGGGAACCCCATCCTGGCTCTGAAGAGCCAGCACCAAGGTCCTGGGGAGCCCCTCGCACTGCTTTGCCAGGGCCTTGCTGGGGCGGCTCATGGCAGGGGCACAGTGCGGCCGGCAGGCCCAAGGGTGTAGTCTGGGAGGGTGCTGACCTGTCAGCCTCCAGCAAACCAGAACTTCAGGGAATCATAAAGACAGGCGTAAAAGGAGGACAGGAGCACACTCAGTTCCTAGCGTGTCCCTGTGGGCCCAGTCTGGGGAGTTGGGTGTTCACCAGGCAGAGGCTGCAAGAGGGGAAGTGGGGAGCTCTCAGGCTGGGGTGTCCGCATCCCGGGACCTAGGAGGCCGCGTGGGGACTCTCGTCCACTGCCTTGGCCTATGCTTGTTTATATCCACTCACCAGTGTCCAGAACACAGTTCTTCGGACAAACCGCAAGTTTGGGAAGAAAAGGTTTTGTCAGCCCGGCTGTCCCTGACAGGAGCCTTTGTCACCTGTGCTGGGCAGCGAGGTTGACCTGGTGTCCGGGCGGCAGTGCCATGCTGCACGTCGCTTCCAGAGTGCTGACAGCTGTTTCCCTGCTCCAGATGGAAGAGCGTTTTGCCATCGATCCCCTCCCCACCACGCCCTGCGCCGAGGCTGGCAGCCCGCACGGCGGATTCGACAGCCTGGAGCGTCTGGGCTCATCCGCAGCGAGCAGTCTGGATTTAGGTGCGTGGTTTCGTTTCTTTGCCGTCTTTCTGTTCTGCACTGATTTCAGGGACTTTCTGAGGCTCAGTATCTGATTCTGCGGCGCAGCGCCTGAAAGAACAACTCTGGCTCCAGCCTCAGCCTTGCTTTCCAGGTCCTGCTTTCTGCAGGGCCTTTCCATTTCCACTGCCTCCCCTCGCTTTTTATTAGTAGTGTGGATTAAAACTGAGGCTGGTACCTGACACCGACCTGCATCTCCACGGACACCCTGGAAAGTGTGGTGCTGTTAAGTGGTGGTGTCAGCTCGCTTCCTGGGGCTGTTAAATATTCATAGAGCTGCATCTGAAACATTCATGAGATGTTGTGCGGCCATATATTACAGTCCACTTTACTACATTAATGACTTAGTTTCCATCGAAGAATTCTAAAAGTGTACTCCTCGCCTCTCTGCGGTGTCAGCTCTCAGACACCCTTGGAATGTTGGCTTTTCAGAGGGGTTTTGTCCGCTCAGCCCGGAGCCCTGCGTGCAGTGTAGCTTAACGCCGCAGGCGGGAGGCAGGGCCCTTCCTGCCTGGTGGTTCCCTGGCCCTGTCGGTCCCTCCGCATGGCTGGGGCAGGCGGGCAGCACAGACGGAGTGTCTTCGCTCCTGGGGTGCAGGCCATTGTGGGACCATGCGTGCAGAGTGATGGCTCAGGCTGGGGTGCCGGGGGAGGCTGTGCCTGAGATCGCAGTCCCCGAGCTCCCTGTGCCTCCCTGCCTCTGTGTGGGCCTGGGTGACTCTGCCCCCTTCCAAGTTCGCCACTGTGGGACAACTGGGACTTTCCTCCCTCAGATTCTCCAGATTCGGTGCTTTTCAAATTCACCACGTTTCTCTGGTTTTCTCTGACTGTTGAGTCCTTGGACGTGGTGTAAGACACGAAGGAGTAAGGGGCCCCGGCTGCTGATTACTGTGGAGCCTTGTGTGGGTGAGGCCTCGCCAGGCCCGGCGGGAGGGCGGCAGGCTCCAGGACGCCCCCATCTGCCCTGACCCAGGCAGTGCCTGACATGGCCTGTCTGCTAGGGCAGCAGCTGCGCTGTGCCCTCGGGGAGGACTGGGGCCAAGGCCCAGGCTCCTGGAGCAGGCGCCTGGCGGTGCTGTCGGAAAGTTGTCAGAAGAGACGCTGTCCGGCTGTCCGGCGGCCCCTCAGGCCCTGCGCACTCCTACGTGTGTCCCCTGAGCAGCCCTCCGCCCTCCCTCACACGTCCACCGTCACACTGTCCCTTGCTTACTTGTCTGTGTTCTCCGCAGAGGGTGCCCTCCCTTGGCGGCGCCGTTGCTGTCTGCTGCGTGACTGAGGGTCTGTTGTCTTACACCCGGTTTGTCTCCAGGCATGATGCTTGCAGAGGATGCCTCAGGCCCCGGCATGCTCGTGGACCTCCCCACCAGGGCTCGGAGGAGAGAGCGAGACCCGCCTCTGTACCAGCTCCCCAGGCCCCGCGGGGCCGTGAAGCACCCTGGAGCATCGTCCACTAGACCCGCCACGGACACATGGTAGGCTGCTGTTGCTCCTACCTTCACACCCTGGAATAGAATTTGCATTTTGTTTCTCTGCTTCTAGGAAATGTCTGATTTTGGTAGAGCCTTTGGAAAACACAGAAAAATGTTATCTCCAAGCCCACAATCTTATGTAATTACTGCGAGCACCTCACAAGGTGCTGGAAGCTGGGCAGCACTGTGCTGATGGTGGACTCAGTGGGTAGTGTCCGCCAGGAGGGCGGGAGGCCACTTCCCAGTCGTGTAAAGGATGGGGCAGGTGCATAGGAGAGCACCTGGGGAGGGGACAGTGACAGAAATGCCAGGTCACTGAGGGTGGAGACTGGGCGGGCCGGGGGCATCACCCTCAGGTGGACTGGCCCAGCGGAGCGGCTGAGGGGTCTCACCAGCTCGTCTGGGGCGTGGAGGGTGGAAGTGGCCCCAGGACCACAGAGCCCTGCACTCCGGCTGAGGTCCTGGTGTGGGCTCTGCAGAGGTCGAGGCGCTGAGACTGCAGCCTCCGAGGGCAGTGCCCGACGCGGCCCTGGGAGGTGCGCGGCTGTGTCCTCCCAGAGGAACGGGGGCAGATGCATGCTGGGAAAGGCCGCGGGGAGGCAAGTCCCCGGGAGAGCACGGGTCCTGCTGTGGCCGGGCAGGGCCAGTTCCCCATGTGCAGAGCTAGGTGCACACACCCCTTGACTGGAGTCTGACGCTGGCACGGCTGCGTGCGTATGTGGGGTCCTTGCAGAGCCCGGCGAATTGTGCCTGCTTGCGGGAGACGAGAGGAAGGGTGGCAGCCTGGCCTTGCAGGCAGAGCAGGGAGGGGACGGTGTGCTAGCCAGGCTCCTCTGCTGCCAGGCAGGACTGCTCTCCTAGCTGCCAGCCAATGCCAGGCTTCACGGGAACACTTCACCCACTGCCAGAGGAGCTAAGGCGAAATTGTACAAATCAAACACTGACTTAGAAAAATAACTCCTGGATTAAACACCGGGGTCTGTGCCATTGTGTGACTGTCTGCTGGGTGGGGATTTGTCGTGTTGAATGTTAAAGCGAACTGTATTTGCTTTGCGTATTTATTCATGCACACATTATAGCATTCCCAGCCGGCTGAGAACAAGAGCGTCTCCTAAACTGTGCGCCTCCTTCCTCTCTCCCCTCAGGGAGTTGCCTGAGAGAGAAGAAGGCGAAGGAGAAGAAACGCCGAACTTCAGCCACTGGGGCCCCCCGAGAATGTATGTGGGCGATGGCGCTGGCCTTCGAGGGAGCAGGCCGGTCTTCTCCTTCATCTGACAGCATTTTTCCTTCACACTCTACTTTTTACCGCTTTCTCAAGTCTTTCTTTTTGTCAGCACACGCTGGCAGCACGATTCCGTACCTCACGGGGCACCTTCGCTCTCAGCCTCCACATTCGCGGATCTGGCTCCCGTCTCCCGCCGTCTGTTTTATTTTGCTATTCTCTCATACTTCGGGAAGCACGCACGCCTGAGCCTTGGGTGGTGCGTTTCACGGCGCGTTCGCGCTTCTCCATGCACTAATGGCTGCAGAGTCGCTGCTTCCCCTGCGTGCTGGTGGCCTCCATGTCCTCATTCTGTCTCACCCAGTGATGGGGCCAGAGGACAGGACAGTGACAGCCATGTCAGCGCAGGCCCCAGCGAGGCTGGCCGGGCCTCTGCCTCCTGGCCCCCTGGCCCCGAGGACACCTCAGCCCACACAGCCTGCACTGTGCCCTGGGCTCCCTGGGGCAGAGTCCTCGCCAGCGCCCACTGCAGCTGCCTCATTAACCCGCACACCCGCCCTGCCGCCTGTTCTGGTCTCTGTGCCGATTTCTCAGTTCTGCTTTAAAGCTCTGAGGACCTGTTTTCTGGTCGCTTCTTCATTTGAGCTGATTACTGGCCAGGTCTCTTTGGTTTAAGCAAATCCCATAAAGTATGAAAATCTCACACATACTTTCTGTTATAAAATGACAGGGAGAAAATGCCACCTTCCAGCCATGGCACAGAGGGCACCAGAGTCTCAGGCTGGGCGCTCACAGTGGCAGATATATTTTATTTTAAAGCCTGAGATTTTCACTAAAATAATACATGTGGCTTTCTTATTTTTTTCCAACCATTTGTTATTTCCTCAACCCTCTCTTTGCCAGTGTTGTGCATATAAATGAGACGGGCTAATCACAGAAAGCAGATTGGGCCACAGACAGGAACTTCAGAGCCGCTGGCCCTTCTCTGAATCCTGGGGTATATTTACCATCTATTCCAGAATTTAAACTTTCATATGTTATCAGTTACTGATCGCACCTTCTCATTTTGGAACCAGTTATAATTTATAGGACATTTATTAAATATATTCAGAAATCGTACTTTTATAAAATGAGTCACAAACAACGGCCCAAATGGATTACCTACAATGGCAGTGCAGACTCTCAAGCAAGTTTCATTTCTGTCTCTTGCAGCGTGGAGATTTTCAGAGAGTCCAGCGTGTCCCTGGGCATCAGCATTGTTGGTGGACAGACCGTGATCAAGCGCTTGAGGAATGGGGAAGAGCTTAAGGGCATATTTATCAAGCAGGTCCTTAAAGACAGCCCAGCAGGAAGGACCACCGCACTCAAAACTGGAGATAAAATCCTCGAGGTAAAGGATGCTTGTGTCTGAAACATTTTTGTACTTTTTTAGTATATGTGCTGCAGAAATGAGCACGAAACGTTTTTGTATTTTTTGCAACAAGGTCATACCCTGTCTTTGAGACAGTGTCCTCCAGGCTGCCTTGAGCTAAGTAGCCCAGCTGACCTCAAACTCATGGCAGTTCTCCTGCCTCCGCCTCCTGAGTGCTGGGGTTGCAGGCGCGCGCCACCTCACCTGTCATGTTTGAGATTTTTAAGACAGTAAAATAATAATTTGGCCAGAAGACCTTTCTTCATGTGTTGGTGTGTGTGCACTTAGGGTGTCCTTTTTCCTTGCCTTAGTTTGTATGCTGCATACACAATTTGTGTCTCCCCAGTGTGGGGAGGAAGCAAGTAAAATGATAAAATTCCACCTCCTGATCATGAAAGACAGTTACAAAGGGCACTGTGTAGATGGGGCAGATGGCGGCGCAGTGCTCCTCCCGCATCCCCGTGAGCTGTCACCTTGTGATCTGGGTCCCAGAAGGCTGCTCCCCTGGAGGGAGTGAGGGCCCCTGAGAAGCGGAGGGCAGCGGGAAGCCGGGGAGCCCTGGTTCCGTGGAGTGGGTTTGTGGGAGCTGGATGGCAAGCGCGTGGTGCTGAGGGAACCCAGGGCTGGCAGACCGCCTTGGTGCCAGGCGCCCCTGCTGACCCTGTACCGTGTTCCCCAGGGCCCGACCTCCTCACTCACACTCTGGGTGGTCAGCGCTCAGTGCCCAGAACTGAGAGGAGGAAGAGGGCTCTGGAGGTCGACTTTCCAGTTTGTCTTCGTTCTGGTGTTGTGGCAAAGCAGAACAGCTCAGTGCTATGGCAAGAGTTACGGCTCGTCGTCACCACTGGGAGACGCGAGAATCTGATGGTCACGCGAAGAGGTGCAGAAAAGCCCTTACTACGCCAGCGGGCTCAGTAGGGTCTGAACTGATGTCTGAGTGATTGACTGGAGAGAGAACCTCATTATATAGGGGTTCAGGGGCAGGCGAGCCTGGTCACTGCAGCGGGAGGGCAGAGTTACAAACTGCTCCCGAGAGGGGTGGGGCTAACAGCATTCTTGAGAGGTCCCGCAGTTCCCACAGCTACAAAACTTGGTACAGTGGGCTGGGGTGCTGCCCGGCAACACAAACTTATATTTCTAGAACAAAACATTTTGAGAAAAAAAAAAGCAAAACAAAACATGAAAGCCAGGCAAGGGCCCGCCTGTCTTCCTGCGTAGTATTCCTCCATCACGGGATAACTACTAGGCCCACCCACCTGCTTAATTTCCAAGTAAAATGGAAATGAGAGTCCCAAGCCAGTAGCGTTGTGAGGACCAAACCCTGAGAACCTCGCAAGCCTGGGTCACAGAGGTCAAGATTTTGTCTCTGAAATTCCTGGACCAGAAATGTTTTGGGCTTTGGGGCTTTCGGGCCTGGGGATGCGGGGACACGGACCTGCGAAAGGAACAATTTCAGAGTCGCGTGTCAGCACTTTGTCCCCACTGCACACAGCGCTTGGAGCACCTGGGCTTTGTACCGACACCGGGTCGGGAACTCTCCTCACTGGCAGCGGCCGCCACTTACCAGGCTGCAGTTTTTGGCTTTTTGGTTCAGGGATGCTTTAAACACACTGGCAATGTGGCAGGGAAGAAAATGAGAGAGCCCCTTCCCACCGGTGTTCCATGATGCTGTGGAAGGGAGAAACAAAGTAGAAGAATGCTGTGTAAAATATTAAATGCTGGGTGAGTGGCTAGGAGGAGACATACAGCAGAAGGAGAGACGGGTCGGTGTGACAAGGTGGTGTGAATGCAGTGATTGCTTCTTTTAAAAACAAAAAACAGCTTATGTCACGTTAAGCCTCCCTGTGACGGTTCCATGGAGATTAAAGGGGCCCCGGTAAGGGAAAAGCTCCACCCAGAGGAAGGAGAGCAAGCCTCAGAATCTGCTTTCACGCAGCATCTTTCGACCCCTAAAAGCCTGCAATAAAAGCCTGTGTGCAGAAGGCAGCAGATGAATCTGACAGTGCAAGGCTTCCAGCTGGGAAAAGGCAAATGGCAGCCAGCGTGGCTCCCGAGTCCACGGGGCCCTTGGGTGACAGCGATGGGACCAGCACTGCAGCACAGCGACACCTGTTGTGGAAATGGAAAGCAGCGGCGAAGGGGTCCTCGTTTGGGGTCCTTTTCCGCCCTGTCTCGCAGTGACCCTGCGTGTCCTCTGTGTGTTTTCACAGGGCTGCTTGCTGGTCTATCTTTTGAAACTTGTTTGTCCTTCAGTTGTTTCTGTTGTCAGTTTACTAAACTGTGCCCTCACACTTACCCAGCGCTAATCTTGCATGTAGCGACAAGATCCCAGGGTTTTCCCTCAGGTTTAAGCACTTAGGTGTTTCAAACTCACAGTTCACTTGAAAGCTTACACTTAGTTGTTTGTGTGCTTTTTTCCCGTGAAAAGTATTGCAAAGCTGTTGTTTTATTTTTAAGTAAAACCTGGTAATCAGTTCTGTCTGTATTTTATAAGATGTGTCTTAAAGCAATAACACAAATGTTTTAGATCCATAAGAGGAGTTTTTTTAATCTAGGAAGTTAGAATTTAATTTCTCACAAATGGACCTTTGTGTGAAGGGATGAGCTTTTGACTTATAATTCTCAAGCTTAGGAAAACCTAACCTTATTATTGTACTGTGACAGAATCCTTCTTTTGTTAACCTCAGTGGTTTCCATTTATCCTTTTGGAAATCTGTCGGGAAAACCCCTCTGTCCCTGCTCTCTGTCCCCTTAAAGCAAGGCAGTGGCCCAGGCCATGACTGTCCCCAACTGCCCCCACCTCAAATTAACTAGGCTTTGTTACACATGGATTTGAAGAAGTGGTTCTGTCAAACACGTTTAGTTCACAGTGGCCTCAGAGATTTATGGACACATTAGCAGGTTTCTTCTCCACGTTTCTGTAATAAGGAGCATTCACTGGTACACACATGTATCAAACGTGGAACACTTACAATGAAAGAGCCTGTTTTATTTGTTCTTGTTTAACACATTATGAGAAATGGCCAGCTTCTCAATTACAGTAACAGTCAATTTGTTTAAGATATTCCCCTCAAGATCCCAAGGGATCCCCTGCCTCACCCCACTCAGCATCATATGTGGTGCTAGTGACAGAGGTGACAGCCTGGGTTTCTGTCATACACGACAACACGTCGTGTCACAATTACCAGTAACGGAGCTTGTGTCATGAACTAACTGCCACTGTGGTGTGGACTTAACCGAGCTGTCTGTCCATTGAGTGTCCCCCGTGGTGCGGCGTCATTTTCCCAGGCAAGCTGCTGCTCCTCAGCCTGCACAGCATCGCGTGGCCCTCTCACGAGCAGATGGTCATTTTGACCTCTGAGTCAGCTGCCCAGGGCCTCCCCAAGTGACGTTCTCCTGTGTTTCAGGTTTCCGGTGTGGACCTGCAGAACGCCACCCACCAAGAGGCTGTGGAGGCCATCAAGAGCGCAGGAAACCCTGTGGTGTTTGTTGTCCAGAGCCTCTCATCCACGCCGAGAGTAAGTTCTTTTTTTCATTTTCAAAAAGTTTAACACTGTCGTCCATTCCTATGGGTCAAACTTTTGCCTTCGAATAGTTTTCCACATATTTTCATTTTTAGTTACATGATATACACGGCTCACGGCTTCAAAGAGTCCAGTCCCTGAGCAGCTGGCTCTAAGGCAGGAAATCATGGTAGAAGGGACTGGTGGAGCAAAACTGCTCACCTCATGGAGGTGGAACAAGTAGGAAAAGAATCGTAGAGAGAGGAAGCGCTGGGGATAGATAGGCCCTTCGAGGGCATTCCCCACTGACCACCATCTCTCCAGTGTACCACTTCCTAACAGCCCACTCAGCTCTGAAATCAGTGAGTCAACCCCTCAATGCACGAGTCATCGGGAACACTTCATATTTACACAGAACACTTAGAAAAAATACTTGCTTAGCTTCAGGTAAATTTAGTCGTTAACTTAAATTTCCCTTTGCCCCCCAAGTTTGATCTCCTGGTCAAATTTGAGTCATTACAGTCTGCGTTGATTTAAGTTACACGTGGTCAAGTCCAACAGCGTGGTTCTCAATAGTTGGACCCCTGGTTACTGCTTTGCTAAGTCAGAGGTGGGTTATTTCTTTATTTTGAGCCAATCACCTTGTTTATGAAATGCTTTGGTCGTAACATTCTAGAGGTACCATCCAGTGTTCTGGATATTTATTAAAACAGAAATGCGGACTTGTTGACAGTGTTACTGTGTGTCCTATTGGACTTTTGGATTTAAAAGTGGCAGTATTTGGTCATAAAAATTGTGTCCTGTAACTCATTACTCATTTGGTGTGGGATTCGGATTCTGATGTGAAAGGTGAGTGGCTGCAGAGACAGCACCCTCAGGGCCTCCTGCGGGCAGTGTTTGTTACTGCATAACGGAAAACAGCTGCTCAAAACATGGGGCCTTCGAACGGTGGGAAGACGGCACATACTTAGCAGAATGATCTGCTTTTCAGGACAGTGACGCAGCGATTTCAGCCACGTGTACAGTGTGGCTCGCAGACTGTCTGCTGGGTGAACGGGCCACTCAGTGGCCCCGGTGAGACGTGGGCTCTGGAGCCGCACCGTGGGCACTGTCAGCTGCATTCATCACATTTTTAGAGTCCAGTTTTTAACCTCTCATAATACTAAAAACATAGCCAAGGCCACCTCTTTTACTGCTGCAAACCGAATCCAGTAGAAACATCGCCGGGGTCCCTAAGCAGCAGTGTGACAGCAGGTGAATCGATGCAGTCACGCATCCCTGTGCCCAACCGTGACTGGCTGCCGAGTAGCGCTCCAAGCCTGAAGGTAGATGGCAGAGTCCCCTGAAGAGCCGGCCTTTCGGGCCGCCGCTCCGACTGCCGAGCCCCGGCTGCCACATGGCTCACCCCATTTGTCCTGCAGCCGGGCGATTGCTCAACCGACGGTGTTACTTAACATGTCTGTGACTTGTTCCATTCTTAAACTTGCTTAGGCACCAAGTGACCCCTGTTGGAGAAGGCAATGAACCGAACCGTTTCCTATCTTTGCAAAATGGTGATCTCTTTCTAATGATTTGTGCAAGACATAGATATCATGCAGGAGCGGGAGATACCGGCCATGCCTTACCAGTTTTTCTTTTCTTGTGGAGATGAGAGGGGCTCTCTAGTCACCTAGGCCCTTTGGGCTCCCGGGCTCAGATGGCCCCTGCTCATCCCCGGTCCCTGGGACAGGCCTGTGCCACTCCGCCAGCTGGCTTGCTCCCTTTAACCAGTTTCCATTACCGTCTGAACTTTCCTAAAATCCGAAGTGAAGTGATTTCTCATGCTGTGCCCATCGAAGCCCCACTGCCTAAAAGTGCCTTGGTCGTGTAAAAGTTCTGCACACCGTGCACCGTCGGCTGCTTTATTACCAACATCTGGCTTTTGTAAGCTGCTTCCAAACTCAACCATATTTTCAGCAAGCTGGAGAAACGCGTGTACCCCCTGAGATTTATCTGGCAAATAAATGCTTCTGTGGGAGCAGAATCCCGATTTATGCTGCGCTCCTCTGTAGAAAGTTTTATGCCAGTGTAACTTTTTCCACTTACTAACATGACCGCATCTCACAGTGGCATCCGGTATTTCTTTGTCGTAGTCCAAGACAAACCCTTTTAAAACCGCGACCATCTCCGCTCATTCAGTTTTTTGCTGTGTGCTATTTTCCTCTTCCTTTATTCTAGTTGTTCTTACTTAAAAGCACTGTTTTATAATGGCACCTGCTTTTTTGGGCACATGCATAATTTTTGTATTAGTATTTATATACTTATACAAATGTCTTACTTTCACAAGGAATACGGCTTCCGTTTTGTTCTAACAGAGGAAGCCTTGGTGAGCATTTGTGTTCTGGGTTTTGCGGTCGCGTATACCCAGAAGCGTCTCTCTGCTGCCCTCCAAATGCAGCAGACACAGGGACGTTCATCTGTCTCAGCCCAGCCTCAGCTGCGTCCTCCACAGGAGAAAGTAGGCCCGTGTGGCTTTCTTCTAGACTTCAGGCGGAAAAGCTCCCCGGGAGGCTCCAGACGCTGGCCTGGGTTGCTGTGTGCGTGGGGTGGATGTGGAAACACCCAGCGCTGCGTTCAGACCGGAAGCCCTGACTGCCTCCCAGCGCTTCTTCCTGGAGAGGAGCATTCCTGGGACTTCCTCGCTCATTGTGAGCTAGAGCTTTAACGTAGTAAAAGTGAAGACAGTGTAATCTCAGCATGCATATAGAGGGAAGTAGAAATCTGTTTTGTTTGGTTTAATATTCTCCAGGCTGGCAGTTCCTTTAATTTTCTGGGAAAGATTTGCCTTTCCTTTCAGTGGTCACGTCTGTCCCCAGGTTGAAGAGCCTTTAAAAAGTGGCTAAGAATAGTGTATTTCCCATAGACGTTTCGTGGTAGTATAGAAGGAAATGAGCCCAAATAATCTAAGCTGTTGGCATCATTAAGGATTAAAGTTCTTTTTATAAAATTTAACTTCAGAAGTTTATAAACATTTATTGATGGCAGGATTTCTTTTTCAGTACTGGGGGCTAAACCCAGGCCTGGTGCGCTCTAGGCTCACCCTCTGCCACTGAGCTGCACCCCCACCCTACAAACATTTGTTGGGCACAGCTGTGTGCCAGGCCCCTCTGAGCACCACAAATGATGGAAAATACTCAATTCATTTGGTGCCACTGCACTTACTTAGGGGTGAAGTGAGTTCGTGAGTCAGTCACCCTGTGCCTCCAGGGAGGGTGTGATTTGACGGGTGCAGTGTGCAGCATGAACTCGGTGATTCTGGGGTGCAGCTGTTCCTGTTCTGGGGGTTGGCTGAGGTCACCATGGAACTGCAGCATGGCACGTCTGGGCGATGATGTTGGAGCCCGTTGAAGTCTTCTCAGTCTTCATTTTCTGGACCCACATAGCAAATGTTTAATTTTACAATATTTTATGGATATTGTCAAGTTTCTGAAATATTAATACTTGTCCTGATTGTGACTCTTGTGTCTTCAGGTTTTAGTTGAAATCACCACAGTGAATAAGTCAGTGCAGGAGGAAGGGTACAGGCATGGTTGGGGGTAAAGCACTGCCTTGCATGGGCAAGGCCCTGAGTCAGAGCACAGCACCAGGTGCACACATGCGTGCACACACACACACACGTGTGCCAGGGAGAAGCGCAGTGACTGGAGCCCCTGAAAAACGCTCCGTCCTCTTCCCCCTCTCTGTGGTGTAGGTCATTCCAAATCCACAGAACAAGGGCAGCAGAGTGGCCAACAGCCCGGACCCCGGCACCAAAGAGAAGGAGAAGGTAAGTGGAACCTTCGGCATCTTTTCTTCATCGCTCTTGCGTCTTAGGAGTTTTGGGTTTCCTACAAACACGTGGACTTACTGCTCTGGTTACACAGACCATGAATAAGTACGCGAGTTTCCCCGATGAGTCCAAGCACTGTCTTCCGTTCGGGAGGAATTCCTTCTCCCGGTAATGGACTGGCCACTGCCCGCTCCCATGAGTGGGCTGTGTCATTTAGAGCGTAACTGAGTGCACTCGAGCCTGTGCAGAGCAGGCCTTCACCGAGCGGCCTGGCGCTGTGGAGGGCTTGGCAGTTCACTTCTGTTCTTTCCAGCAACGTGCAGCCCCCTGTAAAGTTCCACATGTTTTTTTCTTTTCTACGTGTAAGGAAATGTCTCCGTTCTGTGAAGATAATCTGGTCACAGAGCTTTATTCTACTTTAAGTCTATAAATCAAGCATTGTTGTGTTTTGTCATTTGCTGTGTAAATGTAAAACTTTTGTATGCAGAAATAACTACATAATTTCTCTTTTTAAAACATTAAACTGTTTAAAAGGTGAAATCTGTAACTTTAATTGAAGAATTTAATTGCAGAATTAGAACAATGGACAGTTTTTATTTTTAACTTTTTTCTAAAGAAATGTCTTTTGTATAAATTATTTTGTTAATTACAAGGAAAGTTGTGCTTAAAGAAAAATGCGGGTAACAAGATTTCCTTCTCCCGGGGGACTAATATGTTCTAGGAAGGTCAGCAGCCTCCAAAGCCCTGTGCTTGAATTCTTGTTGTCTGCTTTGGTTCGTTTATATCAGAGCCCTTTTATAAAATAAGGAAAGCGTTGGATTTGTTTTACAATCTCCAAGTTATGAATGAAGGCCGCAGTAAAACATGTCCGGAAGGTCTGCCCGGCTGCCCTAACCTTCTCCACTTCTGCGTCCTCAGAGGCAGGGAGAGGCCCCGCCCGTGGGGAAGCTGCCGCCCTGGTCTGGAACCCTGGTTGAGACGAGCGAAGAGGAGGAGCCCGAGCCCCCCGAGGCCCAAGGTGAGGACGGAGGGCTGCCCAGCCCGGCTTGGGTCCCCACAGGCTGCGTGCGCCTTGCCTGTGCCTGCCCGCCAGGATTCTGCTGTCCCTGGAGTCAGGTGCACAGTCGCCTCCGAGGCTGCGGCTTCGCTTCCCGTCCAATAGCCTTGACCAGGGCTGCCTGTGTCCGCCGGTGAATCCGCCCCTCGCTTGTCCCTGGTCCTCCTCATGGTAGATCAGCAGGCTCCCGGTGGGTTTGCTTTCCAGTCTTTCTCCATTTGTACCCCACTCCCCAGCCCAGTACCAGGGATTGAACCCCGGGCCCACCCACCGCCACGCCACACCAGGCTGCTTTGTGTTACTGGAGACGGACTTTGCTGGGTTGCGTAGGCGGGGCTCGAACTCGCGGCCCTCCTGGCTGAGACTCCACAGTGGCTATGGGTCCCCAGCGTGCAGCACCGCGCCCGCCCCTTCGCGTTTTCACGGTGTGCAGTAGGCGGACCGGGTTCAGGAGTGTCCGGGTGTGTAGGACCCTGGGCGGGGTCCATGACCTCAGCGTCCTCACCCTTCTGGGAAGCCCGGCCTGGTGCCAAGCCCAGGATGGGCATCGATTGACACGTTCCTGCCACCCAGCAGCATGCCGGTTAGGGGGACGCAGCTTCCTGCGAGTCCAGGCGACTGGCACGGGACACGGGGGTGCGATACGCGTGCGGTTTGGCACGAGGCCCCAGCACCAGGCTCGGAGCTGCCCTCCCAGCGCCGCCCTGTCCCGGGGAGAAGCCGAGATGAGATCGGGGCGCAGTGCTAAATAACCGGCTCGGGCGGGCGGATGCAGACTAGCCTCCCGACACCGCCTCCACGTTTTACCGCAGTACTTATTTTATGGGCAGGATGCTGGCTCAGGCCTCCTGCAGCCAAACCTTTTACTGAGAGTCAGTGAGTTCGCGGGGATAACTTTTAACAAGCAGCTTTACTGAGATACAGTTTACCCGCTGAAAGTGTGCAGGTGGACGACTCGGTACTTCCCAGGGCTGATGCGGGCGCACTAATCAGTCTGGGACACCTGGCACATCTCTGCCACCCTCTCCCAGCCCTCCTCCTTAGCAGTCTCTCACATCGCTGTGTTTGTGTGGAATTTTATACACATGTATAACAATCTAAATACACACACACACACACACACACACACACACATATTTTTTTTTTTTTTTTTTTTTTTTTTTTTTTTTTTTTTTTTTTTTTTTTTTTTT